GATCTCATACGACGACGATGGTGTGCTCGGGCTCGTCGCCGTGGACGTTGGTGACGAGAATCGCAGCGGCAGAGATCATTCGGTAGGGCTGCAGTGTATGGGGTCCGCGATCCACGACTTCAACACGTTTTCCGAGGTCACACGACGCTTCCGGACCGAGTATATGACCCACCGGAGGGATGTGGCCAGCGCCTCGCACGTGTGGCGCTCCGGATGCCCGCGGTCAACGCGTCGGGAATGTCGTCGGCGCCGAGCTTCGGCCGCGCGCGCAGTCACGTTTTGGGCCCGCACGCATCGAACCAAGCACGCGGAATCTCTTATACCATCACTAAGGACCCGCACACGCCCCAAACGAGCCAGAAGCAGCGTTTCCGACGAGTCCGCACTCGGGCCTCTGAGAGCGTGGGCCGCCTACCGCTGTCACGCGACCGTTTTGAGCCGCGAAGTCGCCATCACGAACGGTTGGAACGGCTCCGCGCCCTCGTGGGGTACATGCGCCGCGGCCGGGGCCGTTTTTCCTTCGGCTACCGCGGCCTACGCGCCGCTTTGAGGCCCATCGAGGGCTAATCGGGTGTTCACCACCCAAAGGTTTGGGTGTGGATCGGCTCAGCTTGGGCTTTGCGATTCTTGAATCCAATGTTGTGGCCAAAAAAAAGGGCTAGAGAGATAGAGAGATTTCTATCTTCATCTTCAGTGAACAGCGAACTGCATCTTGATGTTGCAGTGCACCTTACCCCACTGCGCTCCTACTGCGTATCCTGCTAGTTTTCCCTTCCCTTCCTTAATTCATTCTAATCCAGTTTCAAGTCTTATAGACAGCGAACTGAAGGAGTGACTGCCAAGCAGGCACAGAGTGCATAGCGCTCTTCTGTGTCTGTGGTGTCTGTCTGGTTAGCGTCACAGCGACGTGCCAGGTAGCACCAGGCTCAGCGAGGTTGCACAGTCGCCGGACAGTGCACCTGCTGGATAGTAGTTTGACTGACGTCATAGCGACGTTAGGAAGCTAGTAAACTATCCTAACTTTCTAGGTGTGGGCCGACGCTCGGCCTCCTGTGAAGCCTCGCTTCATTCTTTTCTCTTCTCTTTACCCGCTTCGCGCTCTTTTCTCTTCGCTTTCGCCTCCGCGCTTGCTTTGAGGGGGAGAGATGACGTCCGAAAGTGGCGAGAAAGAGGCCGCCGAGAGACGCGTTGCAAAGCTAGTCGCGGAAGCGGCGGAAGCTGAGGACAGACGAAATGTCACTCAGAAGGAGCTCAGAGAACAGCTGGATGACACAGTTACATCTGCGCTTGAACGATTTGAGACAAGCTTCAAAGCCAGTATAGCAGAATCACTGGAGAGCGTAAAGAATGGTCTCAGGGATGAGTTTCATAGGTCACTCCCAGACTTCGGTATCATAAAGCAAGAAGCAGCCAATCTTAAGGAACAGGTGCACAACCTTAGTGACGGTCTTAACAGCCTCACAGCCAAGTTTCACGACCATGTGGATGACATAGAGAGTGCTGACCTGAAGAGGGACGCTGCACAAAAGACACACTTGCAGATACTTGAAGCAAAACAGAAGACCGTACTAAGTGACATTAGAGGCAAAGCCTTGAAAATAAAGGGAGAGTCAGTTGACACAGAGGACATAGTCAAAACAGTATTAGCACAGATAGAACCTAGGCTCGTCACGCTAGCATCAGGTCAACAGCAGCTTCCAAGAAGTCACGGACCCGAACTTTCAACAAACGAGTTCTATGGACAGGCGCCCAAGTTTCCTCAGCATCTACTACTAAGTGACCGTACCTCACACATACACGCTGCTATAGAGGAGGGACATTACTTCAAGGTAGGTATAAACCCTGAGCTGCAACTGTCTAAGTTCANACAGCAAAATATCAACTTCTCCCGACTAGCGGACATTGAGAAACC